CCCCCCCCCCCCCCCCCCCCCCCCCCCCCCCCCCCCCCCCCCAACGGACTCGAAAATACAAGCTGCCCCCCCGCGCTGCCTGAGACCTCCTCGCGCGGGGCCCACGAACCCGACGACACGAAATCGAGCGGCCAAGAAAAAGGGCTCTATTTTTTAATGACGCCCGGGAAGGGCTGGCCCACAGGGACTTTTTTGTCATGTCGTGCTCACCAGGTCCCTGTCGGGGAAATTTCGACGTGGAGCCACCGTTCAATGCGAGGATCGAACAGTCGTGCGGTCGCGTACGGACCCTACGTGTTTTTCCGAAACGGAAGGCCCAAGGGGGCCTCGAGTCCCGCACGCCTACAAGTACGAGCGGCGCCCTGGGCATTAACGATGCGTTCTGCGTTTTTGCTGGGGAGATGCTGCCCGACGAAAGCCTTGCACCACCACTGTCGTCAACAACACCACCCCGCACAGTTGGAGCGCCATAGCTGGCAAAGAGTAGGGACACCCATTCCTCACCGCGCTCGTTTCCCGGCACTGACGCACCCCGCATGCCCTCGCATCTCCCTCCACCTTCAAAGTCGTTGTCCACGTCATATTCGACGTCGCGTGTCGACACTTCCGGCTCCCACCACTTCACACACTGCCCTCGCAAACACAAAGCACTCCATGCAGCACACTCACGAACGAAAAGCACAAGCCAAAAGGTCGACAGATTGCTGTCTGGATTGACGGCGCAGATCGCGCGAATCTCCACTCGACACTATCACACGGTGAGTGCGCCCGCAGTCGGGACGTGTGTGTGTTTGTGTGCGCGTGCGGGTGGGTTTTCTGATGATATGTTGGCAAAGATTGAAAGAGTTCGTGTTTGCGTGTGTGCGGGTGGATGTGTGTGTGTGTGTGTGTGTGTGTGCGTGTGTGTGTGTGTGTGTGTGTGTGTGTGTGTGTGTGTTTGTGCGTGCACGTGTGTGTCTTTGTGATTGTTTTTGTGTGTGTATTCGAGTGCGTGTTTTATTGTGTGTGTGGTTGTATGACGTGTAAGCCACACGCGCAAGGAAGGATCGTGTGAGTGTCAGGATCTGAGGGGCGTGTGTGTGTGTGGGCGGCGTGTGCGGGCGCATATGTGTGTGTGTGTGTGTTTGTGCCTGTCTGTGCATATTTTTGCGCGTGTGTGTGTGATTGGGCACATTGAACGCGCAGAGATGCGCGCGAAGGTGTTTCCACGTCATTTTTGCGCGTGTGTGTGTCATTGGTCACATTGAACGTGCGGAGATGCGTGTGCCTGTCTGACGAATCACGAATGGTCGTATCGAACACGAGGTGGCCAATCACGAAACACAATCACATCTTGAGCACTTACCACACTCGATGTGATCCTTTGTGCTGTCCCACTGTCATATCCGCCAATCTGCCCAATGGATGATCGATCAAAACAGGCGGTGGCAATGTCGACACAGCGAACGCATCCATCGACCAATCGCGAAACACATAGGACTCGAGTCAAAAACTTTACGTTGATTTTTTTAAAAATGGGTCTTAAGGATGTCAAATAGGACATGCATTGGCCGTTGTCACAAACATTTGGGCATAGACCTATATTTTTTGTCAAACAACGAGACAGATGGAACACAAAAAAGCAAACAACATGTTATTGCCAATACATCCAAGTTCCAGATTTTCTTTGCAGAAGGAAAACTATGTTTTTGGAAGTCATACGCATAAGTGGAGGCAACTGCACGTCAGTTGCCTCTGCTTCTCCCCCTTCCACGGCTCCTCTCAGCTCCGCGGCTCCTCCTCCGCTCCTCCCCCTCCGCTGCTCCTCCCCGCTCCATCGCTCTCCCCCTCTGTTGCTCCTCCCC